GCTTCAACCCAACTTTGGGTCAAATATGGACTAACCCAGCTGTTCGGTAAAATTTTTTAATTAAATTTTAACCCAAAAGTTGGGTTAGTCCATATTTGACCCAAAGTTGGGTTGAAACAACTCAGCATTTTTTAGAGTGTAAGGTACAGTAAAAGTTATTTCCATATTCAAGTGGTTGGGAACAGAGATATTCAAGCACTAAGCTTTTTTTTTCTGTAAAATGAATTAAAAAGTAATGGAGATCGGTTGGAAGTTGTATTGACAAACGTCAAAGTGTTGCTAATGCAAGACATTATTGTGTTTCTTAAAGGGACAGTTCACCCAAAAATGAAAATCCTGCACTCTAAAAAAAATGCTGGGTTAAATATAACCCAGCGCTGGGTTAAAAAGGGACAAACCCAGCTATTGGGTTGTTTTGACCCAGCGGTTGGGTTGTTTTGACTCAAAATAACCCAACTGCTTGGTCAAAACAACCCAATAACTGGGTCAAAACAACCCAAAAGCATTTTTTTTAGAGTGTGTCATTTAATCCGCAAGTTGTTCCAAACCTGTATGAGTTTCTTTCTTCAGTTGAACAAAAAAGAAGATATTTTGAAGAAAGCTGATAACCAAACAGTTGACGGTAGCCATTGACTTCAATAGTATGGAAAAAGATACTATGGAAGTCAATAGGGTAAATGATGACAGAATTTTCATTTTTGGGTAAACTGTCCCTTTAAAATGATATTACTTGGTCTTTAAAAGGTCTTTAAAAAGAAACCTGCATAAATCCCGTTATAAATCTTGTTATTTTTTTTCTGTATTTTATTTTAGCCAACTCAACAGACCACCCTCATCGGCCTGCTCAAGACGGCGCGTCTTTTACGTCTCGTCCGCGTGGCGCGTAAACTGGACCGTTACTCTGAGTATGGCGCGGCCGTCCTCTTCCTGCTGAGAAATATAATATTTGTATTAATGTTTGTTTCTAATGACTTTGAAAAAAATGGCTAAAATTTTGTATAACATATTTGAATTTTCTTTGTTATCATTCCAATATATATAGTGAAAGTTTATGTTAAACTACATTATAAAAATGTTTTATATAAATATTTGAATACTGACATATTTAACTTATTTTTTAAAGAATAGTCAGCCGTAAGTTAGGAGGTCCAAGATGATGGTACAGTTTTTAAAAATCCAGTTTAAAAATTTGTAGAAATATAATATTTGTATTAATGTTTGTTTCTAATGACTTTGAAAAAAATGGCTAAAATTTTGTATAACATATTTGAATTTTCTTTGTTATCATTCCAATATATATAGTGAAAGTTTATGTTAAACTACATTATAAAAATGTTTTATATAAATATTTGAATACTGACATATTTAACTTATTTTTTAAAGAATTTCAAACAAAATTACTTCCTTCTTGTTTGGTTTGGTTTATATATATATATATATATACAGTATATGAGTGTGTGTTATTAAAAACGAAATCCTTTAAATAATAATAATAATAATAAATAAATAATAAAATAAATGT